CCTTCACTGAGCAGGGGACATGGGGGGCCCTGCCCACAGTGTGGAACAAACTCTGGCTGAATCCCACCGGGTATCCTGTGACAGCATCCCTGGGGGCAGAAAGTCCCTGAGGGCCAGGCCAGGTACCAGGGGCTGAGGGCATTCCTCATGGCACGAGCAGACACCCAGCTGACACCGGCTGCTGACTCTGTTCCTCATGTGGTGGATGGTGGCCACCTTGGGCACTCCTGCTTCTCCTTCTGGGTTCCCACCCCCACCATGGGCAGACAAGCCCCAGGAGGTGGCACAGTCACAGCCTCGGCATCTGTTGTGGACAGAGGGCCTGCCAGGCCCCTGCTGTCTGCCAGGTATTGACAGGTGCTTGACCTCCATCCTCACACCAGAACCACCCTAGGCCAACCTTCTGAACCAGGTGGTGTCATCCCCACTCTGTAGGTGAGAAATTGAGGCTCAGAAAGGTTAGTGGATCCGCCCAGGGCAGCAATGGCAGGTGCGGATTCCACAGCCCTTGAAACAGGAGCAGGGTACAAGGTGGTCTGGGCAGAGGTGAGGAGTCCTGTCCACTCCAGCTAGTAGCTGATGAAGCTCTAGCCACCCACCCCACCACTGCAGCCACGATCGCTGTTCATCAAGGGAATGAAGCCAGACTCCCCCACGCCTGTCCCCAGCATCCCTTGCCCTCCCAGGCCCTGCCCTTGCCAGGTCCCACAGCCAGCTGGAAGTGACAGGGTCCCATGAGTCCTTTCCCCTTCTGTTCCCCTTGGTGTGACAGGCTCCTCCAGGCTCCCCACCAGGAGGCTGAGGGGCAGCCACTTTGCTGTGCTGTTGGTGTCGAAGCCCTGTGGGGTGACCTTTACATGTCCTGTGGCAAGTTGGAGGTGACAGCACGTGGCGAGGAGCTGCCATGCAGAGCTGTGCTGTGGGAGAGACTTCGGGCCCAGGCTGGGCTCTGACAAGGCCCAAGAAGAGCCTTTGCAGAGATAGGAAGTGAGGAGTCCAGCACTTGCTGACCAGAGGACAGAGGTTTCTATGGAGACCAGAGGAACAGGAAGCACCGGACCAGGGGAGGAGGCCCTGGGAGCAAGAGGGTGCCTGCAGGAGGGCCTGTCATGCAGTGTCCCCTAGCCCACCTAACAGCCTCCTCGGACAAACAAGGAAACTGAGGCCTGTGAGGGGACGGCTCTGCACTTGGCCCACAGTGTGGCCGGCCTTGCCCTCTGCTGGGAGGGGCTGCACCATCCGGCCACCGAGCAGAATCCTGGATGGGCCCCCGGCAGGGTGTGGAGTCTAGTGCTGTGGGAGCACCTGTAAGCTGCCCCCTTGTCGAGATAGGGGTCCTGGCCCCCATGGGAGGCGTGGGTCTGACCCAGCCCATGCCGCCACCCACAGAGTGCAGCAGCACCTCCCCCACAGTGACTGTGGCCTTTTGTTTTCTGGGTGACACTAGCATCAGGCGGTGTGTCCGGGTGACTAATCTTCTCCAGGCCGGGCAGCTGTCACAGGGCAGCCTGACCAGACGAGCAGGGAAAGCTGACACCCTGGGGACTGATGGCAAGCCAGTGCCCTGGCAGCAGCGGGCAGCCAGGCCTTCAGGTTCCTCTTCCCTGAACACAGAGCAGACCCCAAGTCAGAGAGACCTGGGTTCAGGTCCTGGCCCTGCCACTGCCTGACCGTGTGACCATGGGCGTGTTATTACCCCTCTTCAGGCCTCAATTTCCTCATCTCTAATGGAGCCTACCTCAGAGTTGTGGTAGGGATCCCATAAGATGATAAATCAGAGTGCTTACCACCAGGCCTGATATGTCTATAATCCCAACATCTTAGAAGGCCAAACCTGGAGGATCGCTTGAGGCCAGGAGTTCGAGACCAGCCTGGGCAACAACATAGTGGGACCTCATCTCCAAAATAAGTAAATGAATAGTAAAGTGCTTAGCTCAGGGCCTGTCACATGGATGTTCAGTAGATGGGATCGCATTCTTATTCCTATCCCATCCCAGCCCCATGGTCCAAGAGGAAGGACCCTAACCCCGCCCGTGCCTGAGGCTTTGCTGACTGGTTCCAGCATCGACTCCACACTGACTTGCCATGCGCTCTGGGCAAGTGGCCCCTCTGCCTCAGTTTCCTCATCGGGAATGCAGTGCAGTTCCTGCTCCTGGGAAGTGTTGTGGGTTACAAAATGATGAGAAGTTCGATGTTAGCCATGTTGACACTGATTGTAGGAGAAAGCCAAGTGCTGTCTGCCTGTGCCTGCCCTCCTGCCCATGAGCTCCCCTCCTGCCCCGTGGTTCTGGTTTGAGTAGGATACTATTGGGTGTGAGAGCACTGCCCTGACCGCCTCCCTGTTGTCGCCAGCAGCTGGGGACTCTAACAGGCAGAGACCAAGAGCTGGGCTGTCCCGAGCTCTGCTTCCCCAGGCGTGGCTGCCTGCACTTGGTCATAGGAGCTTAGACACCTTGACCCTGGCCACCTCTCCTTTGCCATCCCTGCATCCGGCCTGCAGCTGCCTGCTCGACTCCCAGAGCTGCAGCAGATGAGAGTTGCGTGGGCAGGAAGAAAAGGTGCTGGACACATGGCCCAGGCCTGACTCCTCAAGCCCACTGTCTCTGCCTTCGTCCTCCTTCCTCCCACTGTTTGCCCACCATGCCTCCCTTCTGCCAGGCCTTTGGCAGGCGAAACATTTCTCCTGTCAGCCTGAGGTGGCATGTTCCATGGCTGTGACTTGGACCTCTACGTCTGCCAGGGGCTAGAATGCTTCCCCTACCAACCTTTCCCAAGCTCAGGGGCTAGGGCTCAGGAGAACATGTGGGGACACAGGCGCCCCTGGGCACCTGGAGGCATTGCCACCCTGAACCACACAGGCTTGTTGGCCTTCCCTGATGAAGAGAGGCGAGGTCACAGGAGCCTGACACTGGCAGCCCGTGAAGACAGGAAGGCTGAGAGGAACATGAGTCCAGGACAGGACCGAGAAGGCAGCTGGAGCAAGGATGCTGCCCACAGCACCTGCCTTCCCTGCAGAGAGTGCTGGGGCTGCCAGCATCAGGCCCCTAGGACCATGTGTAGCTGCAAGCTCCCTCACCCACAGAGCCAGAAGGGTTTCCGGGCATCACCCAGCGCTTCACACATGGGGTATCCATACTTTGCCCCTTCAGAGTTGATACAGAGAAGAGAGGCACCAGAAGGTTCTTATGAGCAGAATCCAGAATCCAGAATCCAGAAGGCTTTTGTTTTGGCTCAGGCCTCCTGTCGCGTCCCCCGAGTAAAGGAAGATGGAGGAGCTTCTCTCACTGGTGGCCAGTGACTGTCCAGTCCCCTGAGGGCTGCTTCCATGGGTCCAGGTAGAACCTCCAGATCTGCCTTCGGCCCAACCCAAGGCTCCGACTGGGAGTCTTGTCAGGACGGAGTTCCCTTGCCGAGGCCCTTGTTTTGTTATCAGAGCTTGGTTTGTGCCACTTCCCGGGAGGAGAAACTAAGCTGTCCTGAGCTGGTGGCAAAACGAAGGCCCAGCAACTGGAAGGCCTTCTTCACTCAGGGCCCCATGGTCTGTCTAGGAAGATTCCGGCTCCCAGCGTTCTTTTTCTCTTCTTTTTTCTTTTGCATCAGCTTCTGGCAAAGAAGGTGAAGTCTATTAGTCCCGGCCTCTGTGGATGATGGTGCCTGGGCAGGGGAAGCTGGGGGGTAGCCCAGAGTGCCCCCCACCTAGGACTTCAGGGGCTACCTTGGGTGCCCCAGCAGCTGTAAACGTGGGCTCCCTGAGAACCCCCAGAGACCCTCTGATCCTCTCGTGGTCAGAGGTCCCAGGGACCTCCCTCCCTCCGAAATGTTGCTTCTCTACTCAGGGGGCAGAGGCTGTGACTGGGCTCCTGGACCATGACCAGGCCCGCCCCTGATACTCCCGGTCTCTGCCCAACAGCCACCCGCCTGCCCCTGCCATGGAGACCTTCTTTAGGAGACACTTCCATCAGAAGGCGCCAGGTCCTGGAGAGGGGCAGTGGCGGCCCAGTGGCATGGGGCTGCCCACGGGCAAGGCCCGGCGCCGTTCCCCTGCCGGGCAGGCCTCCTCCTCACTGGCCCAGCGGCGCCGCTCCAGCGCTCAGCTCCAGGGCTGCCTCCTGAGCTGTGGGGTGGGGGCCCAGGGTTCCAGCCGCTGGCACTCCAGCACTGTGCCCCCTGCCTGCAGCCCCCACCTCCTCGTGGATGAGGCGCCCACCCCACAGCCTGCCCCGATGGGGGCCCCGCTCCTGGGTGTACCCCTGCCGTCGGCAGGGCTCGTGGGCATGAAGGAGGAGGAGGAAGAGGGGGTCCAGGAGGAGCACATGGCAGCTGAGACAGCGAGTGCCGCCCAGCCGGGCCCCGGGACAGCAGGGCCACCCCCTCGCTGGGGCCCCCGGCTGCTGCTGCCCAGGCCCCGATGCCTGCGCCGAGCCTCCTCCCACCTGCTCCCCACCGAGGTAGTGTGTGACCACACCCTCTGGGGCCTGCATGGCTGCTATCGGCGCCTCAGCCAGCGGCGGCCCACAGGCCAGCACCCCAGCTCTGGGGGCCGAAGAGCCTCGGGCACCGCTGCTGGCCCTGCGATGCCCGCCTGTGTGCGACCGCTGTCCCGCAGGCGCCAGGTAGCCCTACGGCGCAAGTCGGCCGGACTCCAGTCCTGGAGCGCCCTACTTGCGTAGGTATAGCTGTGGCTAGGCAAGTGGTGTGGCCTCAGAGGGGTCTGGCAGGGCAGGGGCCTCGAAGCGCTGCCTGGCCCAAGGGAGCCCGCTCAGGGACAGCTCTGGCAGCACCCCAAAACCAGTGCACCCAGAAAGGCCATGAGAGGGCTGAGTCTTCTGCAGGGAGCCTCTCGGTAGCTGAGGCTTCCACGGGGCTCTTAGGGCCTCCCTGCCGCTGTCCCGGCCTTGGCCTTGGATCGAGGTTACAGCGAGGGCAGAGATCCCAATTCCAGGAGGTGGAGGGAGCAAGGGCTCAGTCCCACGGAGCCTCAGCTGTCTCCTCTTCTGTAGGAAAGCCATCACCAAGGCGGGCCTTCCGCACCTGGCCCCACCGCCTCCTGCTTCTGGGGCCCCCTGCAGCGACTCAGAGAGGCAGATCCGGAGCACTGTGGACTGGAGTGTGAGTGGTTGGGTGCTGGGAGGGATGGGTGTGTGGGGGCACTGCTGGGTACCAGCTCTGCTGGATTCTGGGCGTGGAGCGTTGGGGAGGGCAGTAGAGGCACTGTGGGTAGCTGGGCGAGGGGCCCATGGGCAGATCTCCTGGGGGTGGCTACATTGAAGGCAAGCCTTCCAGAGTAGGGACAGTGGGGAAAACAGGACAGTGCACAGGCAATCTTGGCAGTTAGAGCTGGTCCATCTTGGGAGAGGGAGTGTGGGTGGGGGCTGATGGGTAGGCTGGGTGGCAGGCACGCACTGAGCATGCTTATCCTGTGGTGTAGGAGTCAGCGACGTATGGGGAGCACATCTGGTTCGAGACCAACGTGTCGGGGGACTTCTGCTATGTTGGGGAGCAGTACTGTGTAGCCAAGATGCTGGTGAGTGCGCTCCGTGGGGCATGCTGCCCCCTGGTGGCGGAGGAGCAGGGTCTGCAAGCCTGCAGGCCAACCCCGCGGACCGGCAGCCACAGCCCTTCCTGGAAGCGGGAGTGAGCCCTCACCTGTGCACCCCTGTTCTGGGCTGCCCAGGACAGTGAGGGCCTGGAGGGCTTTGTCCTGATGCCAGACGCCAGGATGGGGGTCCCAGATGGCTTCTGTGCTGGGACAGCTGCAGAGGGCTTCTCTGCCTGCTAGAGGCAGCGTTAGGGATAGCCTTGCCTGGTGCCTCAGGGCCCACTTTGTCTCGCAGCAGAAGTCAGTGTCCCGGAGAAAGTGTGCGGCCTGCAAGATCGTGGTGCACACCCCCTGCATCGAGCAACTGGAGAAGGTGAGTGTGACTTCTCGGCCCTTCCCACCCTTTGGGTGTGATGTACACACACACACACTCTCATATGTAACCGTACACATGTCCACACCTTACAAAGACAGCACCTGCCGGAGGTGACTTGGCATACACAGTGGTGAAGAGTCAAGGACCCTGGAGCCAAATGCCTGCCCGGGAATCCTGGCTCCCCCCTTATTAGTCACTGTATCCTCACTGTCCAGAACTAGTGTGGCACAGAGTGGGATTCATTGACTTTCCCAAGGGACCAGATTAACACATGATGGCCGCTGTATCAGTTCATCTTGTCCAAGCACGCGCTTGGAAGAGGCTATGATTTGTTGACGCCTCAGAACCCGTTTGTGGCTGGGCTGGTCCCCACATGCTGCTCTGTGAGACCTTTCTCCAAGGACCATCGTCCACAGCGTGTCTGCAGCCCGGGGCATATGTGGGCACTGCGCTTCTGGAGGGAGGTAGAGGGCAGCTAGGCAGGCAGTCTAGGCAGAGGGCAGGGGAGTTCATATGGAGATAGGGCTCCCAGGCTGCACACGGGAGAGTCCATGAGACCAGGAATGGCTTGAGAGAAGCTGGCATGGGCTGCTTCCCAGCCTCTGACTTGTGGAGTGAGGTTCTCCTGTGCTTCTTGTAAGGCTGATGCAGGGACAGCTAGGAAAAGAGAACCAGAAATGCAAGCCCAAGCATTGTAGACCCATCATCTAAAGTGGACATGGAACCACGAGTCTACAGATTAGCCAAAGGTCCCCGGGGGCAGCAGCACAAGCCTGTAAGCAAGTTCAGGTTGGCTGCATGTGCCTGGGTCAGGAGTGCTTGGAGGGCAAGGGAGAACAGAAGGATGAGTAATCATCCACGGTCCCATTTCAGTGGGGAGACAGACATGAAATTCCCAGGCTCTCCTCCATCCTTGGGTGCTGGGTGGAGATGGAAAGATTCCATCTGGTTAGTGGGGAGGAGGCAGGATGCAGGAGGGCTTCTGAGAGGAGATGTCTCACCTTCTGAGGGGTCCCAGGATGGTTTGGGGGTATCCTGCCTCATGAGGATGACTCCAGGTGATCCTTTTCTGGAGGGGTGACCATACACTTGACTCCAAAGGGAGGTGCTGACATTTTGGTGGTCACTACAATGTTTTGCAGATAAATTTCCGCTGTAAGCCATCCTTCCGTGAATCAGGCTCCAGGAACGTCCGCGAGGTAGGTGCCCAGGGTGGTGGGGGATAGGGTGCCCTGTTTCCTGAGTGGGCCTCTCTGCAGTGCCTCTCGAGTGCCACCAGGGGGCTCGGCTCCTTCTGTGCTGCTCTTGGGTGGGGAGGTGCCCTGCGGAGGCTCCCAGAAGGTTTCTGAGGGGTATGCCTGGCTGGCCCTGCCTGCAGAAGGGGCGGGACAGTGTGTGCCTCATTGTGTACGCCAGCTTTCTCTGTTCCCCTTGGAGTCTGAGCCTCCCCTCCGGGCCATGGAGAAAAGTCTTGGGCCCCTCAGCTCATGCACAGGACTGTGGAGGGCTTCCTGTAGCCTCAGGCCACTGTTGCTGTGCACCCTCCCACCCCTCACCTCAGTGACATTTCTCCCTTCCTCCCCCAGCCATCCTTTGTACGGCACCACTGGGTACACAGGCGACGCCAGGATGGCAAATGTCGGCACTGTGGGAAGGTGAGAGACCCTGCCCGAGGACATGGCCACCTGCTGCTTGGCCAGCAGCCCAAGCCCACGCTGTGCATCCAGCGGGGCCTGGCTGTCACTGGCCAAGCCCCAGCGTGCAGAGTCCCAGGGCTGACTCTCAGCCCGGCTGCGATATCCCAAAGCACCCTGGCCTGTTCTCGGTCGCTGGGCAGAGCAGGAGAGCAGGGAAGAAAGTTTCCTTCTAATTGGTATGTCTGGTGTGCTCTGAAGTGGATGGCCCCTTTGAGGATCATTTAGACATTCTCATCCATCAGCTCAGCTGCTGTTTGTTGAGTGCCTGTCAGGTGAGGGTGTTCTACAAGGGAAGCAGAGGTGTTGGTGACAAGCGGGGCAGGCTGGGCTGGCTGGCAACTCCAAGCTCTGAGCTGGGCAGCGGTTCCCCCCCTTCGAGGTCCGTGTGACTCGAAGACAGACCCTCCAGGGACCTGCCCTGGCACAGTCCACAGTGGGTTTGTTTACTCACTCATTTGCCTCTTGTCTGTCTCCTGTAGTGAGTGGAGGCTTTAGAGTTTAGAGGCTTGTTCCTCTGTGTATTCTGCGTGCCCAGCAGGTACCTGGCACATGGTAGGCCCATGGTAGGCCTAGGTAACAGTGTGTGGGATGAACAGGGAGAGAAGGTGATAGGTACTCTAGAGAAACAGTGAGTTCTGCGAGAACACGCAGAGACCTGGCCAGGACAGGACAGGACGGAGGGAAAGTATGAGTTAGGCAGGAGTTGGCCCCGAATACTCTACAACTCAACACCTTGCAGTTAACTTCAGAATCATGGGCTCCTGGCTGAGCATCCCTGCTCTTGGGGCTTATTTTATTGATTTAAAAATTTTTTTTTTTTTGAGTTGGAGTCTCACTCTGTCACCCAGACTGGAGTGCAGTGGCTGCTCCCGGCCACCGCAGCCTCGACCTGCTGGGCTCCGGCGATCCTTCCGCCTCAGCCTTCCAAGCTGCCGGAATTACAGGCATGCGCTACCACACCCAGCTCATTTTTTTATTTATTGTAGAGATGAGGTCTCGCTGCCCAAGGTGGGTCTCGAACCCGCGGGCTCAGGCAATCGACTCACCTCAGCCTCCCAAAGGCACAGGATTACAGGCTGAGCCACCGAGCCCAGCTGATTTTAAAAATTTTAACAAATGTGTTCAAAGCCAGACATCGTGGCTTATACCTATAGTCCCACCTACTTGGAAGGCGGAAGCAGGAGGATAGTTTGAAGGCAGGAATTCAAGACCAGTCTGGGCAGCAGACTCAGTACCTTTTAAAAAAGTGTTTAGCCAGGCGTGCTAGCTCATGCCTGTAATCTCAGCTCTTTGGGAGGCAGAGGCGAGAGGATCACTTGAAGTCAGGAGTTTAAGATCAGCCTGGCAACATAGTGAGACCTCGTCACTACAAAACAGAAAAAAGGAAAAGAAAATTGGCTGGGCACGGTGGTCCACGCCTGTAGTCCGAGCTACTCGGGGGCTGAGGCAGAAGGACTGCCTGAGCCCAGGAGGTCGAGGCTATGGTGGGCCATGATCATGCCACTGCACTCCAGCCTGGGTGTCAGAGTGAGACTCACACTCAAAAAAAAAGGAAAAGTCCCTGGGTGAGAGTGGTTGGCCACGGGAAAGGGACTGGGCCTGCTGCTCTGTGTCCCTGTGCCTAGCCGTCCTGTCCCCCTCAGGGCTTCCAGCAGAAGTTCACCTTCCACAGCAAGGAGATCGTGGCCATCAGCTGTTCCTGGTGCAAACAAGCAGTGAGTGGTGCCCCCCCCCCGGGCTGGCCCCACCTTGCCCTGGGCTTGGCCCTGGGGTCTCGGTGCCACCCAGCTCAGCCCGGCCCCTCCCTCTCTAGTACCACAGCAAGGTGTCCTGCTTCATGCTGCAGCAGATCGAGGAGCCGTGCTCCCTGGGGGTCCACGCAGCCGTGGTCATCCCGCCCACCTGGATCCTCCGGGCCCGGAGGCCCCAGGTGAGTCCTGCCTTTACCCTCGACACCCCACACGTCTGGAGTTGCCAGCCAGCCCAGCCGGCCCTGCTCGTCACCAACACCTCTGCTTCCCTTGCAGAACACCCTCAAAGCAAGCAAGAAGAAAAAGAGGGCCTCCTTCAAGAGGAAATCTAGCAAGAAAGGGCCCGAGGTTAGGCCTGGGCTGGTGGGAATGGGAAGGGCAATAAGGGAGGGATGTGTTTCTCAGAAGAAGGAGCCCCCCCGAGGTGCATGACCCTCTGGTGAGGCCATTCAGACTCTGGGGTCCCTGAGGAGGGCGGGAGATGAGAGGCCAGTTGCCCCGCTACGGCTAGCTCGCTAGGTCTGACCTAGGTATGACACATGAGGATATGTCGAGGGAATGGAGTATCCCTGGGTAACCGCTGAGGATGGGAGTGGGGTCTCCAGGACCAGAAAGCCTCACTGGCTCTCTGTCTCCAAGGAGGGCCGCTGGAGACCCTTCATCATCAGGCCCACCCCATCCCCCCTCATGAAGCCCCTGCTGGTGTTTGTGAACCCCAAGAGTGGGGGCAACCAGGTGAGAACAGTCGTCCCTCCACAGAGAGCTCTGGGGAGGGGTGGGGTCAAGCCCACCTGCCCAGCTGTTCCCAGGGTCCGTTTCCAGCTTCCACCCTACTCCCTCTTTCCCAGGAATCCTGGGAAATCCTGGCCCATCTCCAGCCCTCACCCACGCCCCGTATTGACCGGATCCCCACAGCCACATCTGTCTCCCACTGCCCTCCTGCCTCCCTGTCCCCAGCACCTCTTGGTTCCTGTCCCTTGCAGGGCGCCAAGATCATCCAGTCCTTCCTCTGGTATCTCAATCCCCGACAAGTCTTTGACCTGAGCCAGGGAGGGCCCAAGGAGGCGTAAGTATTTGCCAGGATCTTGTAGGGGACGGTGGGGGTGACTTGCCTATCGCTTGAGATCCAGCACACATCCCTTCACCCCACTCCCATCTTCCTGACCCCAGACTGGAGATGTACCGCAAAGTGCACAACTTGCGGATCCTGGCGTGCGGGGGCGACGGCACGGTGAGTCCCCCCCAACAGAGCCAAGTGTGGGTGTACCAGAAGCCCTGGCCCGCTGGCCTGACCTGGCCTCTTCTGCTCTGCCTCCTCCAGGTCGGCTGGATTCTCTCCACCCTGGATCAGCTGCGCTTAAAACCACCACCCCCTGTTGCCATCTTGCCCCTGGGTACTGGCAACGACCTGGCCCGCACCCTCAACTGGGGCGGGGTAAGCACCCACAGGAGGGGGGTGCGGCAGGGGGTCTCTGACCCCAGGAGGGGCTCAGTTCCTGCCTCCTCCCTCCAGGGCTACACAGATGAACCTGTGTCCAAGATCCTCTCCCACGTGGAGGAGGGGAATGTGGTGCAGCTGGACCGCTGGGACCTTCACGCCGAGCCCAACCCTGATGCAGGGTCCGAGGAGCGAGACGAGGGTGCCACCGACCGGGTGGGTCGGCCAGGGCGGCGGGGCCTGGGGGCTGGGCTCCGCTTTCCCCCTCGCTGGTTCTGGGGCCTTGGGCCGGTCTCCCCGTTTCTCCGGCCTCCGCTGCTTCCTCTGCACGATGGAAACGTGATACTCGCTTCACAGGGTGGCTTCTTATTCAGAGGATAGTTCCTCAGCGCCCACTCCCTGCCAGGCACTGCTCTAAGCAGTGAGGAGAGCAAGGCTCCCACTCTCGCCGTGCTCCGGTGTCCAGCGGGGAAGAGGTGCCGCCGGGCACTCGGGGAAGTCCCCGAGGAGCCATGAGGGCAGAGCAGGGTGGCACCTGACATGGAGGGTGGGCTGGCGCAGAGCTCCGGGGCCATTGTTAGTGTGGGAAGGGCTTCTGCAAATGGTAGGCCAGGCCCCTGGAGGGGGACATCTGTGAGGCCTGCCCTCATGTTGGTCCCTCGCCCTTTTTCCAGTTGCCCCTGGATGTCTTCAACAACTACTTCAGCCTGGGCTTTGATGCCCACGTCACCCTGGAGTTTCATGAGTCTCGAGGTTGGCAGCCTCCTGGGCAGGCCGGGGGGAGAGAGGGCACAGGAGTGTCTCCAAAGAGGGCCAGACCTTGCTCGCACCAGTAAAAGCCTCTCCTTCCCAGCCCCACCTCCCCTCTCTGACTGGGAAGTACCAGCAGGCTCAGATGGACTCACTGTCCCCATTTCTTGTCTCCACCCAGAGGCCAACCCAGAGAAATTCAACAGCCGCTTTCGGAATAAGATGTTCTATGCCGGGGTGAGTCTGGGGTCTGCCAGCACCTTCTTCCACGCCCACCCGTTCCACCACCCATGCTCCCTGCCCACCTGTGTCTATCAGGCCACAGGAGCCCTGCCAGGTGGTGGTGAGAAAAGATCTCTGTCACCAGATGGTGACGCCCTCTGTCCCCCACAGACAGCCTTCTCCGACTTCCTGATGGGCAGCTCCAAGGACTTGGCCAAGCACATCCGAGTGGTGGTGAGGGGGGCCAAGCTGTAAGCAGAGCGGGCGGGCCAGCAGGGAGGAAGCTGCCTTGGCGCGTGTACCCTCTAACACCCGCCTCCATTCCTGCCTCCAGTGTGATGGAACAGATCTGACCCCCAAGATTCAGGACCTGAAACCCCAGTGCATCGTTTTCCTGAACATCCCCAGGTGAGGAGGGGAGGGCTCGGTGGCCCTGCTGCCCCCGACCTGCAGACTGTTTTGAAGCCCAGCCATTGCCCACCCCCCAGGTACTGCGCGGGCACCATGCCCTGGGGCCACCCTGGGGAGCACCACGACTTTGAGCCCCAGCGGCACGATGACGGCTACCTCGAGGTCATTGGCTTTACCATGACGTCCTTGGTGAGTGGGCCCTGGGCCTGCAGCAGAGCTGGGAGCATGGCCTGAAGATGGAAGGTCACCCACCCTCCCCTTCGCTGGCCAGGACAGCAGAGCCGCCTTCACCTCCCTTCTCTGTTGCGTCCTGTCTCTGACCCGAGAGCCACTCCCAGCCTGTCCCCTCTGTCTTTCTGGGGGGACACTTTCATTGTCTGCTCTGGCCGGAGCGTCACCTTCATTGCCTCGTTCTCTCCCCTGTTTCTCTGTCTGGGGTCATTCTTACTTTTGCTCTCTGGCCAGACTCCCTGGAAATAGCAGAGCTTGTGGCCCCCACCTGACCTGAGCTTCCTGCACCCACAGGCTGCGCTGCAGGTGGGCGGGCACGGTGAGCGGCTGACGCAGTGCCGTGAGGTGGTGCTTTCCACGTCCAAGGCCATACCAGTGCAGGTGGATGGCGAGCCCTGCAAGCTCGCAGCCTCACGCATTCGCATTGCTCTACGCAACCAGGCCACCATGGTGCAGAAGGCCAAGCGGCGGAGCACTGCCCCCCTGCACAGCGAGTACGTCCCACCCCTGCCACCACGTGCTGTGAGCACTGAGGCTGGCCCTGCCCTCTCTGGGCCTGGGTTCCCCCACCCGTAGAAGGGAGCTGACGGCCCTCTGCCCGGGCTGCCGGCAGTGGGGCAGGATGTCCGGCCAGCACTTGGCGTGGGGCCTGGCCAAGGGTTGGCACCCCAGGCAGGGTCTCTGCCGAGTCCCTCCTACTGGGTCTGCCCCACAGCCAGCAGCCAGTGCCCGAGCAGCTGCAGGTCCAGGTGAGCAGAGTGAGCATGCATGACTACGAGGCCCTGCATTACGACAAGGAGCAGCTCAAGGAGGCTTGTGAGTGGCAGCAGGGGTGGGCGGGGTGGGCGGGGTGAGGAGCTGCCGGTCCCCTGAGGGCAGAGCCTGGGGAGCCGCCAGCTGCTGATGGCCACCCTGTCCTCCAGCTGTGCCGCTGGGCACTGTGGTGGTCCCAGGAGACAGTGACTTAGAGCTCTGCCGTGCCCACATCGAGAGGCTCCAACAGGTAAGCGGTGGGGTGGGAGCCTCGTGCTGGCCGTGAGGTGGTAGGAAGCGGGGCGGCACCCCCCTCCCCAGGTGAGCCTGGCCTCCTGTGCTGGTCCCACCTGCTTCCAGCTCCCTTTCCTCCCGGGTCCCAGCTCCACCCCAGCCTGGCCTTTGTTTCTCTCAACAGGAGCCTGATGGTGCTGAAGCTAAGTCCCCAGTGTGCCAGAGACTGTCCCCGAAGTGGTGCTTCCTAGATGGTGAGTCTGCCCCGGAGGTCAGCCCCTGGCAGTCCTGGCTCTGGCTCTGCCCTGCCCCTGCCCCAGGGGACCCCAGTCGGGGCGGCAGACGACCCAGGCCTGTCCTCAGCCACCCCTCTCTCCCGCAGCCACCACCGCCAGCCGCTTCTACAGGATCGACCGGGCCCAGGTGAGTACTCGCAGGCCTGCTCTAGCCACAGCTGGTCCAGGGCCCCAGGGCCCACCCTCCCAGGACGCCTTCCCTATCAGCTCCACCAGGGACTCCTGGGTCCCGTAGTGCGTTCACACTTGTCTCTGTCTGTGGACAGGGTGTGGCTCTGCCCTCCCGACTCAGGTGCACAGGGAGGATGCCAACGGGAGAGGGAGACGGTGTGCCAGAAACAGCTTGTTGGGTGGGCAGGAGGGCCTTGAAGCGCAGGGCCGCCGGTAGAAAGAAGAGGCACTTGTGGCCAGGTGCCAGGTCACTGGGGCAAAGGCCAAGCGGTGGAAGGAGGCTGTGGAGCCAGTGGGTCCAGTGCAGAGGTCAGGGCCTGGGCTGGAGGTGGCAGGAGCGATGGGCAGGGCACTCGCCTGGCCAGCTTCTTGGTGTTAGTGCCCGCGGTGGCAGAGGCTTCTCCAGGTCTGCCAGCCCTGCTCCTCTGTGCCCTGACCCTGGCCTCCCCTCACAGGAGCACCTCAACTATGTGACTGAGATCGCACAGGACGAGATTTACATCTTAGACCCTGAGCTGCTGGGGGCATCGGCCCGGCCTGACCTCCCGACCCCTACATCCCCTCTCCCCACCTCACCCTGCTCACCCACGCCCCGGTGAGTCCCCGACTCCTCTGGCCCCCGTGGTCAGTCCCCCCTGTGAGGGGGCAGCTCCTGGATCCCTGCCTTCTGCCCCAGCCAGCTGCCCGCCCAGCCCCTCCGCCAGTCGGCAAATGGCGGCAGCCTGAGCTGGCCAGAGCCCCCCAGCGAGCCCTCAGCCCCACAGTTCCCCTGGGGCAGCGGCCTCTCATCCACCTGCTGCTCAGGCCTCAGACCTGGGCTCCCGCCCCTCAGTTCTTCAGCAAGTCCTGGCAGCTCTTCTGCTTCTCCCCCACCCCACCCCCTCCCCAACTCTGCTGCCACCAGCCTAGCCACACCCTGGCCCCAACCCTTGTATCCTGTGTCATTGGTGCCCAGACCCCGTCTCCACACTGCAGCCTACTAAAACTGCAAATCCAGCCAGCAGGGTGACTCACACCTGTCATCCCAGCATTTTGGCAGGCTGAGGGGGGAGGATCACTTGAGGCCAGGAGTTCAAGACCAGCCTGGGCAACATAGCGAGACCTCTGTCTTTACCATAAAAATAAGCATTTTTAGGGAAAAAAAAATGCAGATCAGACCAGGCCACTCCCCAGCCTAGAACCTTCTCTCTCGGCAACCTTCCCTGCAGTCATGGACCCTCCCCAGGTCCCTCATCATGGCTCGGGGCTGAGCCTGAGCCTGGCTGCCTCTGGCCACCCAGCCCTCTCTTGCCGTCCACCTCACAGTCCAGCCTCAATCCTCCTGTCTTGGTTCTCTGAGGCCCCAGGCTGGCCCACCTCCAACCTTTGTCCTCACTGCCTCAACTGCCTCAGACTTCTCCCTGCTCTTCCGGAGCAGTTCGGGTCTCAGCGTGCTGTTTCTTCCTTGGGGTCTTCCCCAGGAGCCCCCTGCAAGGGCGCCTCCCCGCTGCTCACCTCCACGCCCTGTTCAGCCCCTCCAGCACCCCGTCCCCCCAGCACTTATTTATTTCACCTGTTGGTCGCCCTGCACTAGAATGTGAGCTCCACGAGAGCAAGTTCTTCACCCGTCTCATTCCTTCCTGTAACCCCAGCGCCTAGAACAGTGCTTGGTGTGTAGTAGGCACTCAATAAACTGCTGAAAGAATGGAGGGCAGCCCTGGTTGGGGCCGGGGAGGGTGCCCAGCAGGGCCGGTGCCGCAGCAGGTCACGTCTCACCCTGCTCTGTTTGCAGGTCTCTGCAAGGGGATGCTGCACCCACCCAAGGTGAGGCTCCTCCCTCCAGGGCCCCTCCTTTCTGCCTGGGCAGAGGCAGGAGGCTCAGGGAGGCGGGCAGGGCCCCCACACAGCCCCACACAAACAGCCGGGTGCTCCACATGGTCATGTTCACATCCCAGCCCACCCTCGGCACGTGTACACGTCCCGGCAGGCACACTTCGCACAGCGACGCAGCACATGTGTGTTCATGCACCAACATGCACCCACACAAGCCCAGGCCTCCGACCGCAGAGTAACGGGCAGGTGTTCTGTGCAGGTGACGAGCTGATCGAGGCTGCCAAGAGGAATGACTTCTGTAAGGTACCGGCTCCGGGGCTCCAGCGTCTTCCCTGGCAGCCCCCTCCTCTGAGTTGGGCTGAGAGCTGACCCGTCCTGGCGCTGTTGTCTGCTATCATCTGGTCTTCTGCAGGGTCTCCACAGTGGTTGTCCCAGTTCACCGTGCCCTGTCTGCCCAAGCCACAACAGATATCCCTCTGGGCTTCCTAGCTCCTAGACCTGTCCCATGCTTAGAAAGGAGCGAGTCTTCGGTTGCCAGTGCTGCCGGGGAGTCCGCAGCCCCTGGGGTCAGAGGGGTCCCTTGCCCCTCCTCTCACACTCAGACCCCCTGGAGGTGCCTGGGGGGAGAGGTGTGTACGCACACTAGCGTCAGGCATGCCAGCCGAGGAGGGAGCGGTGCCCTGGGAGCCCACCCTGCTCTGCCTCCTGCCTTCAGCTCCAGGAGCTGCATCGGGCAGGGGGCGACCTCATGCACCGCGATGAGCAGAGCCGCACGCTCCTGCACCACGCCGTCAGCACCGGCAGCAAAGAGGTGGTCCGCTACCTGCTGGACCACGGTGAGCTGTGCCGCTGGGGCCCAGGGTCGGGGGCCACGGTGGGAGGCGGGGAGGCTGCCAGGTCTCTAACCACCTCCCCCCTCCTCCAGCCCCCTCGGAGATCCTCGATGCCGTGGAGGAAAAGTGAGCATCTGGGCAGTCAGGACCCGGGTTACCGTGGAAACCTCCCTGTCGTCCCCCCGCCCCTCCCGTCTTGCCACATCTGCCATCCCCTGGGTCATGCCCCCTGGCCCCGAGGCCCCGAACTCGCTGCTCCTCCTGATGGCGCTCGGAGACGTGGGTGGGCCCAGAGGACTGGATGGGGTCACAGCCAGCCCCTGCTTCCCCAGCGGGGAGACCTGTCTGCACCAGGCGGCGGCCCTGGGCCAGCGCACCATCTGCCACTACATCGTGGAGGCCGGGGCCTCGCTCATGAAGACAGACCAGCAGGTGAGCGCACCGGCGGGGCGGGGAGCCTGCGGCCGCACCACCCAGGCCTTTCCCAGACCCGCGCGCGGGGCCGG